GAAACCTGAATATTAAATAGACTTTGAAGCAAGTTCATTTTTCTCACAGTTTTGGCTTTTTTGTTTGTTTGTCTTAGGGTGTGTTTTAGTTTCTTTCCACGCATAAAAAACAAAACTTGATCTTTTGAAATAACAATTGAGGAAAATAAAGCATGAAAAAAAAGAAATTAGGAAAAATTAGATTCACAAATAATAGAAATAAATTCAAAACACTTCCAATTACAATGAGACAAGGAGAAATACTTGCAGCACAAAACAACGTGATGTGACACCTAAGCCAAAATCGATAAGCAGACACCACACAAAATTCAGCAATTTTTTTGAAACGATATATTTCCAGTTCGAAAAAAAACGTGTCCTGGTCAGATCCCAACCAGTAACCTTTGCCGTCTCAGTCGTCGTCGTTACCTCATAACTAAATGTACCGGAGAAGCTAAGAAATTTGAATTTAAGAAACCAAGCTATCAAAAGACCCAGCTGATTTTTTAAAACAATTTGTGAACCGAAAAATAATTAAAAAACCTGGTCGTTCAAAAAAATTCCATTAAAATATTAATTTTTTCTACAATTTCGTTCGATGAAATTTATGAAGGCTTTATCACACTAGCATAGACGGTTGCTGGGCAAATGGCACAATATTCCTCCCCTCCCCTACGAAATTTCTGAATTTTTTTTGTTATATATTTTGTATTTTAATTAGAGGAGACTGAATTGGTTAATGAGCAACAACCAGATCAGTAAGCAGAAAACCAAATCCCAGAACAATTAGATTGGAAATTCAGTCCGGTATTCTTGGTCAGGAAAAGCAATTAGTCAGAAAAAAGGAAAAGTTCAGAACATTTCTTCTCGAAACTGATACAAATTTTTTGCATTTTTTACACCGAACACCGCTGGCTTTCATGTAATGCCTAACATGGCCCCTCGTACAATTCTTTTTTCAAGAAAAAAATCGGGGTTTAGAAAAAATACAGTTTCTTCTCTTTTCTCGAAACTGAGAAAAAAAAGCTACGCTATAGTTCCTTCTCACTTCGTGAAGTGGTCGAGCGTGGACAATTTCTTCCTGGACAAAAGACAAAAATTTTGAAATTACATCGCCCGAAAAATGATATTTTCTATAGTTCAGAATTTGGTTTTTTTCAACCTGATTAAACTGTAGGACAGTTCGTCTAACAATGTCATATTCCAAGATTTAACAAGCCGTTATGAGGTAATGTGGTTACTTTATGCGGATGTAGCAATTAGATAAAACTAGCGTGTAACGCACCTGCGGCGTTTCAAAGATATTAGTGCCCGCGAAACTTGCTTATTCATAAAATTTAAGAGAAACAACGAAATGAATGCAATCGGAGCAATAAACGGGAGAAAGTAACAGCCCTTTTGTTTTCAAAAATCGAACGAGAAAAAGAATATAACTTGAAGGTTTTTAAACTAAAATGGTCAAATCTCCAAAATACCGGGTTTCAGATCTTCGTACTCTTAACTCATAAAAAAACCCTAAAAGGGCCGGTAGCATATAACTGAGGTTCCCAAATTTCAAAAAGTGCGTTTGAAACGATTTCATTTGCAAACTCTTCAATTTATAAATGAGATTCATAATCAAGCGTAATTGATTCTTAGCTATCAGACTCTTTTTTCTTCATTTAAATTTAAGTTTAATGAACATTTTTGAAATATCATTGAAAATGTCAATTTCGAAAACTCAAGCAAAAAAAATGAGCGAAAAAATAAGAATGGAAAACACATCTGCAACCAGACTTCACCCTACCAATGCGTCGACTATTTCAATACGATTTTTCAACCACTTGAAATTTTACGAATATATCATAAAAACGTCTTATCTTGGAAAATGATATGCGTTAAGGATTCATATTTGTAGTCCAGATATGCGCTTCCTGATAGTTCCTTGACAGCACCCCACCATAGTGTTGAGAAATTCAAACTTCAAAAAAACATTTAGATAAAATTTTTTGAAAAAATTGATCAATCATAAAAAAAAGGTTTATCTCGATAACTTAGATGATTTAAGCAGTCAAACTTGGAAGGAAAAAATTCAATCTCTGAGAGTACCCTGCAATCACCCTATTATAAGGCTGGAATTAATGATTTCATAGTTTTGTGAATTATTTTTGTCAATTAATTTGATTCTCTGAGCTTTCCCAAAACACTATCAAGTCTCTTTTCGTCAAAAAAATACTGCGCCGAAATGATCTCATGTAGAAACGGTATAAATAGCCGTTTTGAAAACTTTTGACCAAAAAATTCTTATTTTGGAGCGAGCATCTAGCTCTAATATGACTACAGGCCCAGCTAAAGCTGGAGATACCTGTTTGATAATTTTTCATTTTCTTGTTCTGATGCGGGATGAAATAGGTAATTTTCAAAAATTTAGAAAATGGGCTCCGCCCAAAACCTAGTTATTGCTGTATTAAAATATGAAGGAAATTCTTGGGATTTTGGAAATTTCCTAGAGACACACATTTTTTGAACCATTTTTAGGGCGTAGCATCTTATGCACGGAGGCTTTTCACAAACTGTTGCCTCGATTAAACACTTGATATCAAATTAAATTATTTTCGAGAGGAATCAAGTTTCAAAAAACGAGGAATCAAAAAAATGACTTTTCCAAGGGTCATAACTTTTTGAGTGTTCAAAAATTTGGGCGCAACCGCTTCCTACAACCCGTTCTCAACATTGAAACGAAAATCTCAGATTTGGGAGGATAGTTTTCGAGAGAAGTCAAAATTATTCTGAGGGCCAGAACTTTTTGTGCTGAAAGTTTTGGGAGAAGCCGCTTATGCAAGGGAGGTTCACACAATCCGTTCTTTTCATTAAGCCCAAAATCTCAGATTTAGGAGGGGAGTTTGAGAAAATGTCAAAAACCCAAAAATATAGGTGGAAACTCCTCCACCGCCCCCCCCCCACCGACTTTTTAGTAGGCTGTAGAAAGCGGGGTAAGGTATAAAGAGCCTCTGGAATTATGCAAGCCCACAGGGTAGTAGGCGGACTTCCGTTGGTATCACTTTTTTTTAAAAATCGAAACAGTAGTTTTTGAGAAGAACTAAATTTTTTGAAAAGTGAAAAACTTTTCCAGAACGTCTGAAAAAACTTTTAAAACATTAAAAAATCCGATCCCATACATTTTCATAATACCCATTTTATCAAACAGGAATTTATTTTGTCGCCGAAGACATTTCTGGAAACAAGGGAGGGGGACCCTTTAGACGGTCTGAGGTTCGAACTCCTGAAGGATAAGGTGCGTCTTCCACCCCTAAATCCGCTCCTGGAACATGCAGGAACAATTATCAGGCAACTTTCTTTTTTCGAAATCTCTAAATAGTTTTTCTTTTTGAATTATAATTTACAAATTTTTCATCATGGAAACGTTTTAGAAAATGTTTTTTTTCTCCATGCGAAATTTTCGACAATTAAACATCGCAGGCAGTTAAGCACCAAACACTTAAAAATAGACTCACGGGGTGCTAATTCATTAAAACATAGACAACAGTCAGTTGATAAAGACTGTTGAAATCACGGAAACAAAAAAACTTGACTTGTTTTCCGAAAAAGACTTAATTTCAAAGAAAAAAATATATGGCCTAAAAGCTCTTTGAATTTTAAGAAAAATTTATGATTGACTTTTTTGATAAAATTAACTGAAATTAAGATAACTGGATCAATATGTTGAGTTTTTACTCCCCTGGGAAATCCGAAAAATAAACTCCACGTCCCCTTTGCCTTTTTGCAGTTCGATAGTGGAATGTGCCGTCCTTTCAACAAAGGAAATGAAGTGAACTGAAAAGTAAACTAATTTTACCAAAAAAAAAGTGCCCATCATAAATTGTTCAGATACACAAAAGAAATCAAAGTCAAACCGAGAAAATTTTTGAGCCTGAGAAAAAATGACTTTTACCGAAAGAAACTCAAACAAAATGCCTTCTTTATGTTCATCGACTATTAATTAGCAACTTTCGAAACAACTCACAGATGTCGAATTAAGTGCAAATAGTTCAGATACACAATTTGAACGGAACAAAAACCAGACTGACTTATGCAAGTGATAAATCCCTCCGCTTTTTAATAACTGCCTAATTTAACATCCTGAATTCAAAATCCTCTTTTGTCAACATTCCTTTAAAACTCGAGTACTTACATGAATCCTTCCTTGGTAATGATGGCAATTAGCTCTAACTTGTGATAACAGTTTTGGGATTTTGAGATGAAAAAGATGTTAGACTGAAGACATTTGAATTTATAAAAAAAATTGTAATTAAATTTATACAAATATAAAGCGAACTATAAAATTAAATTTCAACACTGTGAATGCAAAACGGCCTGTATTTACTAGAAAATCTTATTTTATTGGCAAAAAAGCATACGTAAACAGTTTAAAATCGAATTTCAGGAGTTTTAAGATGCAAACACTCGTAGTTCAATCCAATTATTGAGATTCCAGAATAAGCTTAATTTTCAATTATTGCAACGCTGAGTAGAGATGATTTTTGCGGGTTGAATTTCAATGATCGGATATTGGACCAAAATTAGTTGGAATTAGTAATAATCTGAAATAAATATTTGAAGTACGGCTGGCAAAATAGCAAAGTTAATACTCAGGAAAATGACACCAATGATGAAAATGCGTAAGATAGAAAAATAAAAACAAGCTGAGCTCCAAGACGAAATTTCTTTCCATTAATTGTTTAATTTTATTGCATTTATTTAAAATAACCTCATTTAATTATTAACTGCACATCGAATACTAAATTGAACTATAGCGCCTTTTTGTATGAACTGCACATTAGCGGCGTTGAGATTACAACGAGCCGAGTTTTGAGCCAAATTTCACACGAGAATGTCTCTTCATAACGTATCAGATTTGGATCTAATTTCATTTCTATCTGACATTTCATAGAAAATTTTTTCGAACTACCCCTTTCTGAAAAGTGTTTCGAATTCGAGAATTGGAGTTTCCTTCTGAGACTGAAAATCTTTTGAAATCCTGGTAAAATGGTTTAAAAAAATTACTGAGACAATTCACTCGTTTGTTTTCCAACTCAAAACACTAGATTCTAAATAAACAAGCAGACAATTTTCTTTCTTCAAAATGCGAATATTTTGTCAAAATGCGAATATTCTGTCTGAATATTCAACTAAAATTCCTTCTAAAAGAGGATGTCGGCTTGTTGTCATTTACTGCTTAGCTATTGCAATGATATAAAGCAACTTTGAATTGAGCAAACTTTATAAATTGAGATATTAATTTATATAGTTTCAAACCTCTGCTTAAATCACTTTACTCCCTTAAACTATCAAAAATACTTTCAAACGAAAACCTTGACAAAAAAATAGAAGAGAATAGAACAAAAAACATCATACTGGCTATAATAGCCATTGATAAAACTGCACTGCAAAAACTGTGCGCCAACTTAGTAGAGTGCACTAAATTTACAGCAATGAAATTGACCGCCCAAGAAAGAAACTTTCTCACAGCAGAAGTGGCGCATTGCAAAAATAACGAATTTGACATTATTGTAACAATAAATCAAGCTGGCAACAATTTCTTCATAAATTACTATAATTCGAATTCTATCGTAAATTAGTGTTAAATTATCTGTATTGTACTCAAGTAAGCGTACCTGGTTTGTCTAACTTAATTGAAAGAGTATTTTGGGGAGTGTTGGGTAAGTCATTTCCGAGGGGAAGGAATTGCCTCGACATCATTGGAGATTGAAGTCGTGTCGTGTCCAATCAACTCATACTAGGTTATACTCCTTCAGGTTAAGTTGTAAAATTGTGTCTTTGACGGCGGCGAAAACAAATCGAATGTTTTCCGTATCGGTAGCACAAGTGAAATGAGAATAGATGATTTTGTCAGCGTCCGGGTTTAGCTCCACGTACATCTTTAGAATGTACTCTCGCGCACAAACCGCATCTTTTTCCGGCCCTGAAACATGAATCACCCACATCGCTACAAGTCTAGAAAGGAATATTACGAACGACAAATTTATGAATATTTAAAAACAACTAGGGGCCCAGCTAAGGGCGGAGGTATGAGTTTGATGTTGAGTGAATTTGCTATACTGATGCGATTTTAAAAGTTGGACTTCATCTTCGATTTGTTTAAAATCCATAACTTTTTTCTTATAAAAACGGAGCATTCCCAGTTATAAAGGTGGGCTTTCAACTACCTCTTTCGATTGAACCTAGGATATCAGATTTGATAGGATATAAGTGAGAAAAGTCCAAAAAACGGTCAAATAATCAAAAAATTGACATTTCGGAGATTCATAGCTTTTCATGTAAATTCGATTTAATGTAACCTGTAAATTCGATTGAAACCAAAATCTCAGATTTGAGAGGGTAGTTCTCGAGAAATGTCAAATATTAAAAACAAAAAACCGGTCAAAAAAATCAAAACTTTGACTTTTCCGAGGGCCATAATTTTCGTTATCGGAAAAATATGTGAGAAGTCGCATAAGCAAATGAGCTTCTCACAAACCATTCTTTGAATTGAACCCAAAATCTCAAAAATGTCATAGCAATTTTCGAGAATATTCAAAAAGTTGAATATTCCGAGGTCCATAACTTTAAGTGCAAAAACAATTGAACGTAGCCACTCATGCAGGCAGCTTTTTGAAACCGCTCCATTCATTGAAACCAAAACCTCAGATTTGAGAAAAGTATTTCTTGAGAAAACAAATGAAATAAAAAATATGGGTCAAATATTAAGAGTCAAGTAAAAAGAGCAAGAAAAAAGAGGCTCTAGGGAAAATGCCTCTTCCCATATTAAAGGCCTGATCGCTCTCTTTCGTGACTCGAAATAAGACCAAAAATCTCAAAATTCGAATATTTAAAAGGGTTTTTCTCTGCACTGAGGTTTTTTCTACACTTACTTTAAAATGATATGTCAATGGACCCCTTCCGACGATTATTTTTGGTGCCTGATTTAACGTGAAAAACAAAAAAAAACAGAAAACAAAGATAGCCTCCAACCACATTCACATAATAAAAACTACATTTTTTCTTTTCCTGATCAAATTGAGGTCGTTTTAGTGCGTGGTGCAATAAGACATCTATACAAACGAGTAAAAGTTATTGAATTAGGAAACATAGCCAACAGATAGTTGGAAAAGAGTCCACGAACGCAAGTAAATAGAAAAAAATATACTGGCTTGTTTTTCGAAACTTCTGAGCGTCCAAAAAATTGCCTTGAAGCTCTTTGAATTTGTAGAACAATTAATTATTGACACTTTTTTGATAAACTGACCCAATTTGATAAAAATGAACCAATAGGTAATCTTCAATTTCGCTGCAAAATCGGATAACTTAATTATGTTTTCGAAAATAGACCTTTATCGCGTTTTTTGTGACCTTTACGCCGTTTGATAATGGAGTTCGTCTCGTGCTTAAAAAATCCAAAGTCAAACCGCGAAAAAATAAATTTGAACCAGAACAAAATTTTAAGATTTTTCCTGAAAAACAAAATCATCGCGACCTATATAAGAGTCTGAACTAGGTTCATCGACAAAATTTTTCTTCCAAAAAAGAAACAATAAATAAAAAAAGGAAGCACTATAAACAGCGTTCAAAACTGTTTTATTTTCAGTGAAATCAGGTTTGCTTAGCCTTGCTTTCAAGTAACAAACGTTATTCGGTCGCTCTAATTGCTCAAAATTAGACAAACTCAAACACTTCAAACAGTTTTTTTTTTACACCGGAGCATTTTCAAAAAAATTTCATGTCCTTCACATCAAGGGCCTTAATATGATAATTCATTCGACCCATTAGATAATTATTTGTGGTACCTAATTTTGCGTGAAAAAAACTAACACATCCGATTACAAGTCCCTCCCTTTTTCCAGCGGTCGGAACAATAAATCAACGACAAGTGTTTGTTAAATAAGAGACGGGGAGGGCAGTAGTACTGACCATCGTAGTCTGGGAAATAGTCGATGAGGTGTGAGTACATGATCTTCTCCTCCAGCAGGTCCTTCTTGTTGAGAAAGAGAATGACCGAGGAGTTCTGGAACCAAGGATATGCGATTATTGTGCGGAACAGCGCTTTGCTCTCTTCCATTCGATTCTAAACAAATCAACACAGTAATTTCACACAACCAGTCGCATGTTTAAATAATCAATCTGCAAAACTGTCATTAACTCGCAGAGGAAACAAGAGGGCCTCCATCCTGGTAGCAAAAAGAAATACCCCTACAATCGCTATCTTACTATTATGAGCGTGGGCCTGGGCCATGTGATAATGGCACTGAGCCAAAAAAAAATTGCAATGGATATTAAAACTTAATTCAATTGTGTAATGAATGATGGCTTCTATTCTGCAAAGGAGTCAAACTCAAAAACTTAAACAAAATGAGGCGATAATTAATATCCAGCCGTCGGCTTTACATCTGAAAACTTAGAAAAACATTTGCGTTTGGCCTAAAATTTGTTCTCATTTTGAACGTTTTAGCTCAGGTTACGATGTTGTAAATCATAAAGACTCCAAAAGCGTCTAGGAATCTATAAGAAACGACGTATAATTCCTGATTTACTTCGTCTGTAATTACTCGAGAAGGAACGCAGCTTGATTTAGCATCAGCGAAACTAATGGTGTATGAAGATATATGGTGGATAGTTCATAACCGCAAGCGAAATGAATGTGTGTAGTAAGTGGCAAGAGTACCTCGTTGTCGGACTCGGCTAAAACTTGGTCGTATTCGGACAGAGCAGCTAGGAACATGATGGATGTGACATTCTCGAAGCAGTGGATCCACTTCCTCCGCTCGCTTCTCTGGCCCCCCACGTCCACCATGCGGAAAGTGATGTTCTCTATCAGAAAAGTGTACTCCACTATGCCCGTGGTCGGCACCCTCGCCCGCAACACGTCCTGCTCCGTCGGCACATAATCCCCACTACTGATTCTGTCTATGCTAGTCAAGTAACTGAAACCACGCACACAACACACGTCATTAAACATCACTTCTTTATTGACACGATAGTGGAGCTTTTAGAGAGGGGCTGCGGGTCGAGTGTGTCGAGGGGGGGGGGGGGGGGGGGGGCTCAAATCGCCTTTCAGATTTTAACCTTGAGAAAAAGTAAAGGGGACGCTTTAGGGTTTTAAAATAAAAATCACATCGAAAAACTTGAAAAACGACACACTAATTTAAAGCGCGGAAAACTGTAACGAGTAAGAAAGTAAAAAAGTTAAAAAAGTAAGACCCCCTTTTTAAAAAGCTTTAGACCGCACTGATAGGATGTATCTCAGTACGCGCATTTCCGAAAGAGCGTACCGTCAGATTTAATATGTATGGCGTCGAAGACACCTTCAGAAAAATCATGGACATCGTCAAACCCTTTGGAAGATAAAGGGACTGAATTCATGTTGGAGATAAAATGCACGAGGATTAATTAAGTCCCGCCACATGTTTCAACATTACCCAAGATCGTCTTTACCGAGAAGCATTTGAAATATATAGGTTATTATTTGCCCCCTTTTACTAGCTAAGTAGAAGTTATTATTTGCCCCCTTTTACCCGTTTAGTAGTAGTTGGAGTTGTTCTTACTAGTGCTAACTAGAGTTTAGTAGTGTGTGTTGGTTGCGCTTACTAGTGTGATGAGTCTGGAAGTTGGTACTCTCTGCGTCTGTCGTAGGCCTCCTTGATGCCCATGTCCTGCCAGAGGGACTTGATGGCCACCACGTGTTTCGCCTCCAGACGCACACTCGTGTCATTGGCCGCATTCACACTCCGGATCAACTCCGCGTGCTCCTACACACAACACAGCAACAATAAGACAACAGTTCAATTACTCACACCGTCCATACAATTCAAATTCAGGTGTACTTAAAAGACAGCTACCTCAATCAAGTTTTAAACTAACTTAAAACGTGCACAACTTCGAAGACGTTGTATAGCCAAAAAACTTGAATCGCTCAAAAATCAAATATTATGAAACTATATAACAACAAAGAACACCGTTGAAAAACCAAGAAAAAAATTGTAAAAAAACATGTAAATATATCATTTCACTTTTGTTATCACTTTTCAAGCTTAAATTTATCTCCAATAGTCTAAATCAAAAATTTTTTGAACATGTCTCACATTTTCAGCTCACACGTTTATGTGTTAAAGCTCACACTTTTTTGCTTCATCAATTGTCCATTTTCCAATTGCCGGTAAACAGCGAATCAAGCGAGAATTAAGTTTTGAAATGATTTAACAGTGGCTTTGTGGCGATCCGGTAGTGATTAGTATGGTGCATATCAATCATGCTAGCATATAACGCACCTTGGGTGCTTCGAATTTTTGACAACTCATAAAAAAGAGCAGTCGCACTGGGACGCAAAATTTGCAACTCTTGAAAGTACCCAGCTACATGGTTGGCAATTTCATATTTTTTAAATCGAAGCTTAAAGAAAAATTCAAAAAAAATCATAAAAAACGTTATTAATCGAAAACTACAAGGATTTAAACAGTCATATTTGGAGACGAAATTCTCAACTCCTGAGAATACCCTGATGGAGCCTCACTCTTAAAATGGTAACTTTAAAGTTTGTGAAGTTTTTTATATCTAAGTTCTTTGAACAATTTTTAAAAAAAAAGACATAACAAACGTCAAATCTCGGAAACTAAGAGCATTTGAGCAGTCGCATTTGGACGCAAGATTTAGAACTTATAATTCCTGGGAGTATTTCTACAGTACCCAACAACAAGCCTAGGAATTTCAATTTTTGTAAATTATTTTTTAAATTGAGCTTTCTGAAAAATTTGAAAAAAAAATCACAAAAATCGTCGTATCTCGTAAACTAAAAGGATTTGGGTATTCATATTTGGAGACTAAATTTGCCATCTCTGTAGAAATCCTGAGAGCATCCCATTATTGGGTTGCTAACTTTACACTCGGTTAAATAAACACTGAATTCAAACTGAAAAGCGAAAAAAATGTCTTAACCATTGCAATATACGATATGGCTTAAGCGAAGAAAATTTTTTTTTTGTCAAACATGCAAAAATATTACGTTGAAAAAACTTACAAATGGCGAGATAGTGAAGCCTTCATTTGAACATATAATAGACAGGTATAATAAATAAATAGATAACAGATAGTTAATAGATGATTGCAGATGCAACTCTCACGAGCGGTGAGATTTGCAAGGTGAGCTCTTGCAAGTCATAGCTTAATGAACGTTGGTCATATGCGCTCTAGTCAACTTTAACACAGAGGTGAAGCTGCGCTTCGCACCACTTGCGATACAAAACAAGAAAGCCGCTAAGTCGGAAAAAAATTGAAAATGTCGGCAAAACTAGATAGATCAAAATGAATAAGACTAGTTTTGAAAAAAAAAAAAACAAGAAGAAAGATTGTCAAATTAGCATCGGAAAAAAATTACAAAGCGGTAAAAAAGCCGAAAACATCTTAGCAGAAACCCTCGAAGCCAAAAAAAATCAACAAGATGTAAGACTTATAAAAATTTTAAAAGCTTGCCCTCAAAACACCAACTTTATTCGCTTGTCATGTGAAACAATTTGAGGTCACTAAGCCAAAACAATATAGGCCGAAACCTATTAAGCCGAAAAAAGAAAATCAAAATAAACAACAAAAAAATAATCAACCCTTCTCGCCCTCAAAAAACACGCATATGCAAACTTTTTTCGCTCGTCCAAAGACGCAATATGAGGCCATTAAGCCGATTCAATATAAGCCTAAACCTATTAAGCGGAAAGAAGGAAAAGAAAAAATCTTAAAAAAATTGTAGTCATGAAAATCTTTACTTTTAATTACGATTTTGTGAGCAGGTAGCACAGAATGTTCCGACCATAGTTAGTCTTTAGAAAACTACGGTTTAGAACGTTTTTTTTTTCGTGTAGTTCCTTTCTATTTGGTGTGATAAAAGGATCTGACAATAAAAAAACATTTAGGCATATAAGACAGTCACTGTAGTATAAGCAAATTGGACAAAAACTTTTGTAGAAAAATGATTAGAAAAACTTTTAAAAAATCAAACAAATTTTTTTTGCCAAAATTTTGGAATTTTTTGAAGTTTTTGGTTCCAAAAACCAAGCTGAAAAAACTCAAAAACTAGATTTACATGCTTAAATTCAAATTTTAAGGTCTTAAGCTAGGCATAATTCAGCTTGTAAGCCAAAACACGCTCACGCCATATTATTTCGAAATTAGACCAAAAATCAAAAATTTCAAACCAATTTTTCTCGTGACAGTAAAAACTTTTTTGAAGTTTTTAATGTCGTTCGAATCACGACTAAAATGGCTTTAATATGATATATCACTCAACCCTGTCCGATGATTATTTGTGGTAGCTAATTTTGCGTAAAAAACACCCCAAATCCAAAGTTCCTCCCCATTTTTAATGGTCGGAACAATAACTTATGTACAACAACAAAAAACAATTCAAAGATGCGGCAACTTAGTCGACAATACATAAGCAGACAAACAATAAGCGAGAATTTATCGTTTGAGAAAAAATAGGTCCTGTCAGATTCCAACCCAAGACCTTTGCCGTCCCAGGCGTATTCGTTACTTCCAGACCAAGTGCACCGGAGGCACAAAATTTGGAACCTAAATTTATCATTTCTATTTTTGACCACTCCAAAACAGAGTTTTTTACGGGAAAAGTCTAATACCCGATTACAATACCCTTGCTAATCGCAAGGGTAATAATAATTAACCTACGGTTTAGGTCTCCGGGCTGGTTGACTACAAAATATGAAAAAAATAAAGTAGCGGCTAACATAATTGTCTTCAATGGAGTAGGAAATGTTGAGGGTCCTCATGGCACTGCACATGCTAGACATTGCTACGAAAATGTTGTTGTGGATAATATTGATTAAAGCTTTTCGGTCTTCCTCGCTGTAACCCTAAAACACAAAACATAACATAATTGATTTGATGATCCAGCAACTTTAACTCATCTTTTCGCATAGTTTGTTTTAAAAGTCTATTTACCTTTCCGTGAATAATTCGCATTTGTTTAATGAAAGTGCTTTTGCCGGATTCTCCGGTTCCCAGAAGAAGGAGCTTGAGCTCGCGCCTGGCATCTCTCTTGTCTTTCCGCAGTTGCTTTTCTATTTCTGCATTTATCCTTTTCGACTCTTTCGCCTCTTCGCTGAGGCAGCAACTCATGCTGATCACAATTCGATTTGCACTTCAGGAATTTCCTGAATCAGTCAAAATATTATACACATTAGAAAAACTCTCACTAAAAAATTGCCGTTCATGGATACGCAACTCACTCTTGCTAGGTTTCTCTCACACTTTCATGCCAGCCAGCTTCACAATATCAAATTAACATTACGAGTTCTTATCTCATGTAAGCATGAAGCCCTATCGACAGAGGAGAGGTGTGTCAACTTTTAATCAATAAGATTTCAAATCAATTTACCTGAAAAGAAAATGTAATTGAAAAAATCATCCAGAAAACAGCTGGTGGATGTAATAATTAAAATAGTACAATTGGTACTCGTTTGAAGTACAACAAACATATAAGACCTGGAGCTATCCAAGGAAATTTGGTGTCCTTCCTATTATCAGTTCGGCCAATTTTACCTTAGAAAGCTTCGAAAACTCAAATCTAACTTGAAAGTTTTAACAGTATTTTACTTAATTGCAAAACGATCTATAGATGTCCCAATATTTTTGACTGATGGACACAATGAAGCACACTTGCAGTAGCTTTTGTTATCGTGATAACTTTCACTTTCAAACTAACAAGAAAATCGTGTGCCATTAATCACCCATTCAGAAATCGTCCCACCATATCCTCGGATTAAAAAACGTGATAATTATAAGAAATGGATTACAACAGCAGAAAAAATATATGAGACGGATCTTTTAGTCTGAGTATAAAATGTTCATTTAGGTTGACATCAATTTTTCAAGATGTGGCTTATAGTCCAAACCACTGCATTCAATTTTCAATGAATCTTGATCAAGTGAGTAAATCAGCCTTCGAAAGAACCAAGAGCGTGGTGAGCAAAGCATGAGACTAAGAGGAAACATATTTGTGTCTGGAAATGTGTCCCACAAACTGAACGACCCAGAAATATTAACTTAGCCACAGCCATACGAGTTCTATACACGATTTGCTCACTAGATTATATGATCATATTGGCGCAGACGCACAAACCGGTGATCGCTTGTCTTTCCAAATAGTAAGCTAACGAAGCAAAAAATGATGTTCATAGTCTGCCTTCGTGTAGATTTTCCAGGAATTGAGTCAGTTACTCCGTTGTAAGGAAGTAACCAATTCATCTGGTAGCAGCAGAAGCTCAAAATCACGCGGTAAGAGGAATGATCGATATTTTATTCTTTGCTTCGGAAACTATGGAATTCCATAGGAAAACCAAAACAACAGCAAGACAAAACTACTTCACTATCGCAGCCATTAACGACTGGAACTCATTGCCTGAAAGAATAATATCGAGTGAGAACGTCAACATATTCAGAGCAAGACTTGACAAACTATGGGCGTCCGAAATGTACGACGCATCGTTTTTGGAATGACGAAATGGACGTCGACGAAAGAGCTGGTCGATAGAGGCCGAAGCCTATAGACCAGAATTGAACTTGTGAACTTAAGACGACTTTAAGGTCATAATTTTTTTGAAAGCATAATCAAAAGAAAACTTAAAGTAAACTATTAAGCGACAGAGAAAATGAACCATATAGGTCAGAATTTTGAGTTTATGGGTTCCAGGACGCATTAAGCGTTTCCACGCTGAATTGACAGTCCTATTCTGTGTCTCGAAGATACGGTAGCTCTTCTGTCTCCCGTTTATCAGCAACTTTCGAGATCCGAGAGCGCGGATGCATGATAGTCTGGACTTGGCGAGATGCCTCATTATTGGAGGATGCCTCATAATTGGAGGAAACGCCATAAATAATGACTTTCTTGTTTGATTTTTGTCACCAAAAAAGATGCCAAATCTTGTGAGAGGAAGAGCAACATGCACTCTATTAAGTTGGGGCAGAAAATTTTCGGACGCCTTTGTTTTACCAAAAACACAAGGGCATTGAACTAGACAAACAAAGATGAATTTAACAGGACCTGCGACGGTCAGCGCACAAGTTCAATATGGCCATCCAACCAAAAACATTCAACAAAAAACTTTAGCTTCTAGATAAGGGTCTATCAAGTTTAACCCTCTTTCAACAAATGTACGAACTGACGATAAGATTTGTGCTTTTCAATTTCATATACACACAGTTTACTCTTGAAGCAACAACCGAATCGACGAGGCTCGGAAAATGCTTTATAAAAAACAGCTAATAGTCACATTTGATTATGTGCCAGTCGGTCATGTCTGGAGGTTTGACCTTGAGAAACACGTAATTTTGGAGTGAAGTTTTAATTTTAAAAATTTCGAATGGAGCCTGTCATGCTCAGTTTTCTCGAACCAACTGAAAACAAAAAGTGAAAAATCAGAACGACCGAATTAACAATTGCGGGAAACTACTCAAGAAAAAGGCAGGAAATTGCTATTCGCAATTTCTCGATACGAAATAATAAGAGAGTAGAGCTGTCTTATCCCGAAAACAGGAGAATAGAACACAGACTTGAGAAAGGACGATTATTCGAACGGAACAGAGCGAACATTCAATGGAAGAGAGGACAACTCGAGTGTCCCGATGGTTCATACAGAAACTTTGATTCTTGAGACAGAACTTACTTCTGTTGTTAAAACTAATTAGCATCAAACTTATTTAGTTATATTATTTGATTCTCGAGCTGCTCATCTTTTAATTACTCCTCATACTCAAGCGCATCGACATGTGAGTTCTCAATTTAAATTTCTCGAGTGTATTTTATGATAGTTATGTTGAGATAAGGCGAGTTTTAGGTTGATCCATCTGAAATGGATCAAAGTTCCACTGTCCAATAAAAAGTAACTAAGCGGATTGTTCCGACCCGGTTTTTAACGGCGTTCATGTATTTTGGGTATCTAGAGACCTAAGTATGGGGACGTTCCTAATTCTAGAGTGGGGGATATTTTAGTAGTAGCCTTTAAGCTGTAACGGGTCGTAGTCTCATGTCACAAACGAACCGAATTGGCTCCGACTGATTTGAGGTAGAAAAACACAAGAGATAGTGTCCCTGACTCTTGAGCCAATGGTTATAGGGCCTATTTTTCTTAAGCCTCATGTGTGACTGCAGTAGACGAATGTTACATAGTGTTTTTATGGCGCTCCTGGGTGTTTTTACGACATCATGACTACGGAGTCGAACCCACTTGACACAGCTCCGGTTTACATGCCCATTCTAGAGTACCGGTGGTACGGTTCAGCGGGAACGTGTAAACCTTCCGGTTGTACCGTGATAGCTTTTTAAGAAAACTCAAGAAAACTTCCTGGTACGCTCTCCGAACGAGGCTTAGCTAACCGAGTGAAGGGGGGCAACTAGGGGGACAAAAACACGAGCAAAAAAGAATACAAAAAGGAACAAAAACCATAAAACGAAAAAAGACAGTGACTTTGATACCAAATTAGTTGGATCAAACCTTTGTATTAATTAAATAGTATACACATACTGTTTTATAAGACCGATCGTTTCGATCAATCTAGCAATTTAAACCAGTGAATTCAGTAAGGTGCCCGAGTGGGGGGCGTTGTTAAGGGTTTTCAGATAGATTGCGACCCAACCGGACCACTAGGAGACTTGACTCGAAAGGGTGACCAGTCGAGTGGGAAAGTGGTTCACAAGGATCGAAACTGACCACTAGGAGACTTGATTGGAAGAGGTGACCAGTCGAGTGGGAAACTGGTTCTGCTGTCAAGTGCAGAACAGAGACAACCAGCACAGGACCACTACAAGAGGACGCACAGGGGTGTTCTCAAGTCGAACAACGGGTATCGTTAGAATCCACATTACATTATAGGAAATAAGTGTAAAATTGGATAAGCGGAGTCCCATTGTTTTGAGGCAGTTTTTACTCAAGCAGGCCTGGAAACAGGTCTACGGTTTTCTCTCGAGAGGTTTAGCACCCGGCGCTTAAGGGATTTTTCGGCTTAAGAGGGGGGCTAAAGAGGGGGGAGGTTAGTAGGGGGGCTGGTTAGGTTAAAGGTTGGCGGTTGTAAATTGTAAAAAAGGGGGAAATTAGAGTAACTAATTAATCGACATCGTTGATTTAGTTACATTAGCCATCAACACGCGTTGGTAATTATAGGTGGATATCCAAAATTTAACTCGAGTTAAGATTGGTACGCTGGTGGGATTGGTAGGGGGGAACGGATATAGATAGTTTTTGTGATACCCCATAAGATCGCTAGTGGGGGGAGGAAAACGCGTGGCAGTTAGGTACCAGACATTTTTTTTCGACAGAAGGCCGACATTTGTCTCCTTTGAATTTTAGGTGGGTTGATTTCTCTGTTTTATTATTTTTTCTTGTTTAAAATATTTTTTTTATTTATTGTTGCATTTTGGTGAGGATTTGCGATTGGTTTTTATACGAACAGGTGATCACAAGATACCTGCGCACAGGTTTTGGTTTCAAGTTGCTTGGAACATAGAAAAAGAGGTAATTCAAAAAGGGGGGTTAGCATTTGGCCATTAAGAGAGGGTTTTTGGGAAAATTTTTACTAGAGCTTGAGTGGTGGTACAAGGTACAGTGAATCAAGAAGTCCCTACAACGAAGAAGAAAGAGATCCGATATCCAGACACTCAGTGACGAGTCTTGGGACAGTACCGAAGAAGTCTTGGGACATTGCAGTCTGGGGACAGTCTTGGGGCAACACAGTCTTGGGACAGTGCAGCCTTGGGGCAGTCTTGGACCAGAGCAGTCTTGGTACGAAACAGTCTTGGGCCATTGGTCTTGGGACGTTAGTCTTGGGACGTTGGTCTTGGGACATTAGTCTTGGGACGTTGGTCTTGGGCCATTGGTCTTGGGACGTTAGTCTTGGGACATTAGTCTTGGGACATTAGTCTTGGGACGTTGGTCTTGGGCCATTGGTCTTGGGACATTAGTCTTGGGACGTTGGTCTTGGGCCATTGGTCTTGGGACGTTAGTCTTGGGACGTTGGTCTTGGGCCATTGGTCTTGGGACATTAGTCTTGGGCCATTGGTCTTGGGACATTAGTCTTGGGACGTTGGTCTTGGGCCATTGGTCTTGGGACGTTAGTCTTGGGACATTAGTCTTGGGCCATTGGTCTTGGGACGTTAGTCTTGGGACGTTGGTCTTGGGCCATTGGTCTTGGGACATTAGTCTTGGGACGTTAGTCTTGGGACATTGGTCTCGGGTCGTTAGTCTTGGGACGTTGGTCTTGGGACGTTGGTCTAGGGACGTTGGTCTTGGGACATTGGTCTCAGGATACCAATAAGAAGTACTGGGACAACACTGAATAGTCTTGGGACGGTAGAGAGAAAGTGTTGGAACAGTATTAGG